CCTCACAGAAAAATTGCAACCTAGAGACTTTACCAGATTATAGACACCATTTATCCATTAAGTTTTGAATGTAAAGACTAAGAGCAAAAAGCGTTCTAGATTTTTTGAGTGTTAGTCACTGTGCTGAACACAACCGTATAGGAATGAAATCACAACAGAACCTCTGTTTCAGGTTATTATGTATAACACCATACTAAATTATCTTTGGAGTAGGATTTGGGGTTGAATCCACATGGCACTAGTTCAATTTTTAGATTTTCCTAATAGCTTGCTTGATTTAATTTTTGCAGTAATTGGTGTGGAACTGCGCTGGCAATTTCATGTGGCCATATCCAAGTTTACAACCAACATCATCCTACCTGACCAAATGAGCACTCTGTGTACTGGGGAACACCAGCCATGTAATTGGTTAGTGCTGGGCTGAGATGTTTGCTTATGAAGTCTGTAAAAATCCGAGTAATGGATGGGTCTCAAGCATTTGGATCTGTGACTAATCTTTTTTCTGGGCATATTTTTTCAACTGTTTTTGGTATTGCTATTTCAGTTATGGAATTTGGGCAATTAAAATATTATGCATTTCTTGCCAAAAACTGGAAAGCTTATATTTGGAATTGATGCAGAGAGAAACTTTAAAACGTGTACCAGGTCAGAAAAAAAATCTCATATAGAATAAAACATGAATAGTAAACATTTTAATTTTGAGTCTCAGAAATTCCTTTTGAACATTCTTGTAGCATATGCAGTAGTAAAATGTTAATGGTAAGTGAAAAAGGGGCTAATGCACATGAGCACTTACATAAGTGTCAAAGACACTTGTCTTGGTTATGTCAGGTGGGTGCATGTTGTTGTCATCAGTTACATTAAGCAACTGTGAAAGCTGAAGAAAGGAGGGTTCCTCTAGCAGCTGTAAAGTACTTTTGAGAAGTATTTATCAAGCTTCAGTAAGCATTTATTATTTTATTTTAAGTAGCTTTCGTTGCAATCACTCAGCCACTACATGTCCTCACTCTTCTGGATCTTCAGGATCCAGCAACATTTACCTGGAAGACTGATGACTGTGAGTGGAGGGCATCATGCACCAACTCCCTGAGGGGCTGTCACATAGTCATAGACACCCTGTAAAAAGTGTAATGGTAAAAGAGTGAATTTGCTATGATCACATCAGTGCCACGCTTTGCATCATTCAAGGATAAGTTCAGCTATTAAAAAAAAATAAATGCACATTTTTTTGCAGGTAAAATTTATTATTTTCTGTTTCTGGATCAGCGATCAGAACATCAGTGGTGCCATGCAGGTTTCCCCCTGACCTGTCAGTATATCTGCTTGCACGTATATACCATATGAGCAAGCAGATAATACTGACAGGAAGGCTCAATGAACTACCACAGTACTGTGGAGCGCCATGGTAATTCATTGAAAACTACAGGCCAACAGCCGCAAAGGCTGCTGGGACTTGTAATTTTTCCCATTCATAGAATACTGTGAACAGATGATGCGGCCAAGCAGGCGGAGCTCCGTACGGCCATGTTTTTTTTAAATTGTGACAGCTAGCGAGGGGGGAGAAAATCCCGCGCTAGCTGTCACAGTGGACATCGGGGGTGGGGGTGGGGTGCAGGGGCCGGTCTGATCATAACATGTTACATCCTGAATATGGGTGTAACATGTTAAGAAGGTTAACTTATCCTTTAACCGCCTCCTGCCTGCCATATAAGGAAATTCTGGGAGGACATCATATGACATCCTCCCACTCTAACTGCACGTGTATGCCCCCAGGTGGGACACAGCGCGGCGATCAGTGGTGCACTGTGTCCCTGGGACACAGCGAATCACCGATCAGTGGAAAGAGCTGATGACTTTGGCTCTGTCATTTGATCAGCTGTGTCCAATCAGAGCTGATCGCATGTAAATAAGGAAATGCCAGTTATCCGCATTCCTCTCCTCACGAGCTGTCACGCTGACAGCTCGTGAGGAGAGGAAAGCCAGTAATTGGCATTCCTCAGAGGGGACATCTACACTGATCATCCCCATCAGTGCAACCTGTCAGTGTCCATCAATGCCACCTGTCAGTGCCCATCAGTGCAAATCAATGCCACATATCAATGCCTACCAGTGCACATCAATGCGACATATCAGTGCCCATGTGAGCTGCCTTCCAGTGCCATCTATCAGTGCCAGTCAGTGCCACCGACCAGTGCAAGTCAGTGCCACCTATGAGTGCTGCTAATAAACGCCACCTATAAATGCCAGTCAGTGCCACCTATCAGTGGCTGTCAGTGCCGCCTATCGGTACCCATCAGTGCCACCCAACAGTTCCAGTCAGTGCTGCCTAACAATGCCAGTCAGTGCCGCCTATCAGTGCCAGTCAGTGCCGCCTATCAGTGCCATATATGAATACTGCCTTTCAGTGCCCATCATCAGTGATGTTGGTCAATGCCCATCAGTGATACCTGTCAATGCCCATCAGTGCCAGCTATCAGTGCCTCCTCATCAGTGCAGCCTATCAGTGCCCATCACTGCAGCCTTATTAGCGCACATCAGTGAAGGAGAAAAATTACTCATTTACAAAAATTTATAACAGAAACTAAGAAAAAACTTTTTTTTTAAATTTTCAATTGTTTTTGGTTTGTTTAGCAAAAAATACAGTGGTAATTAAATACTGCCAAAAAAAAAAATCTTTATCTGTCTCAAAAAAATGATAAAAATGTCTTATTGGTGTACAATGTTGCATGACCACGCAATTGTCATTCAAAGTTCGACAGCGCTGAAAGCTGAAAATTGGCCTGGGCAGGAAGGGGTATAAGTGCCCAGTAGGCAAGTGGTTAATGATTGCCCAACTCTAAAAAAGAGGAGGAAGAGGGGTTAATCTACAAAAACTGGAGAGTGCAAATCGGCATCATAGCCAATCAGTTTCTAACTTCAGCTTGTTCGATTAGGCTTTGGCAAACAAAACTGGAAGCTGATTGGTTTCTCTGCAGAGCTCCTCCAGCTTTTGCACTTTCCAGTTTTAGTAAATCAACCTCTGTATGTCAGTGACCAGGCATCTGAAACCGCTAAGTAAAAAACTCCCTCTTAGGGTTGCCACCTCATCCCTTTAAAACTGAACACATATTTCATTACACAGGTTCTGTGGCTGATTAAGTTGGTAATTAAACTCACTTAGTGCCTTGTCTGCATTAAATTAGCCTCAGAACCTGTGGAATTAAGAAGTGTTCGGTTTTAAAGGGATGAGGTGGTAACCCTACTGTCTCTGTCGAGGAGGTGTCTAGGTGGTGGTGATGTGTGGGGGGGAAGACCAAGATCTTAGCTTGAATCTCTCTTTACATAAAGCTCTTGTCATCTTTTACACACCAGCAAAACTGTCAAATGCCTTCAAGGATTGAGGGGAGGCGAAAAGGAATGTTAATTGACACGAAACCCTATTTGCAGTCTTTATGCAGGTCTATCAGTGTCATGTGTCAGACACTGGGTCTGGATAGGGTAGGTGTCTAGAATTCAGATATGCTTCAGGATAGACTCAGATGAAGAAATCAGAATATCTTCAGGATAAACTATCCCCAGTTCATGAGATACTAAAGACAAGAACTGTCTGCACAAATAAAAAAAAAAAATTCTACAATATTCCACAACTAGACAATGGCCATAGCTTTACAAATATACACTCTGAAAAAAAAATGACAATGAAAACCACAAAATGTATAGAAATTTTAGTTAGTTCAGTTTTCATCCAGTCATTGCTGTAATGTGACAGTGCAGGTTATTGTCAATTACCCTCCAAGGCACCTTCCTGCTGTGATGCAATGTCTTTGCTTCCCCTCAGCTTTCTATTGCCACCTCTAATGATGTAACACCTTCACATGTGTGCTTGAGTTACATTGTTTAAGCAGTGTTCACTGTGTATGCACTGCAGGTGGTGTATAATCCGTACAAGCTGCTGGGAGTAAGCCCTGGTTCACATATGTGCATTCCTGTGGGCCGCGTTTTGTGCGGGCACAAGAGCCCATTCATTTGAATGGACTCCTGTGCCCCGGGACAGGCAGGGAAGAAGTCCCTGCACCTCTTTGGAAACCACAGCCTGCAGGGGAATCTCGTACGGCTGCGTTTTGCAGTGTGGGCGTCGTGCCATTAGAATTAATGGTACCCGCCTATGGGTCCGCATTCTTCTGTGTGGGTGGTGCGGCTGCACAGATTTTTGTGCGGATCCGCGGGGGGCACCACCCGCACATATGTGAACCTGGCCTAAGAGAGAACTTTTTTGGTATGGCACTTTGCATATCTGTTATGTAGAAAACTCCTATTAGTTTATTTGTGGATCAGGCCAAATTTTGCAAAGTCAGTATGCATAGGTGGCCCTGATAATAAATCTATGCCTAATTTCCTCCCTAAATATTTTTTACATTGCTTAACCACTTGCCTACCGGGCACTTTTATCCCCTTCCTGCCCAGGCCAAATTTCAGCTTTCAGTGCTCTTGCACTTTAAATGACAATTGCGCGGTCATGCAACACTGTACACAAACAAAAGTTTTATAATTTTTTTTTAGACGGAGAGCTTTCTTTTGGTGGTGTTTAATCACCACTGAGGGTTTTTATTTTTTTTTGCTAAACAAACTAAAAAAGACTGAAATTAAAAAAAAAAAAAATTTTTTTGCACAGTTTCTGTTAAACAATTTTGCAAATAAATAATTTTTCTCCTTCACTGATGTGCGCTAATGAAGCTGCAGTGATGGGCACTGATAGGTGGCACTGATTGGTACTGCTAGGTGGCACTAATGAGGAGGCACTGATAGGTGGCACTGATGGGCATTGACAGGCATCACTTGTGGGCATTGAGAGGCATCACTGATGGTCACTGAAAGGCAGCACTCATATATGGCACTGATGGGCACTGGTAGCTGGCACTGATAGGCAGCACTGATTGGACATATTAGGCGCCACTTATTGGAACTGTTAAGTAGCACTGATGGGTACTGAGAGGGGGCACTGATGGTCACTGATAGGTGGCACTAACGGGCACTTTCAGGCAGCACTGACTGGCACTGGTAGGTGGCACTGACTGGCGGCACTGATGGGTGGCACTGACTGGCACTGATAGGCGGCACTGAAAGGCAGCTCTCATGGGCACTGATTTGTGGCATTGATGTGCACTGGTAGGCACTGGTATGTGGCATTGATGTGCACTGGTATGTGGCATTGATGGGCACTTACAGATGGCATTGATTTGCACTGACAGGTAGCACTGATGGGGCTACAATGATCACCAGTTCCCTGATGATCAGTGTAAATGTCACCTCTGAGAAATGCCGATTACCAGCTCTCCTCCCCTCTCCTCATGAGCTGTCTGCAGGAGGAGAGGACTGCCAATAACCGGCATTTCCTATGTATATGTGGTCAGCTGTGATTGGACACAGCTGATCAAATGACAGAGCTCTTTACAGTGATTGGTGATCCAGGGACACAGCGCACCACCGATCACTGCGCACCCCCGAGGGAGCGCATCCGCAGTTAAAGTGGGAGGACGTCATATGACGTCCTCCCAGAATGAGAGAACCGCTGCCCTCCCATTATTACCTTATATGGCGGGCGGGTGGCGGTTAAAGACGCATTTGGGTTGATTTACTAAAACTGGAGAGTCTTAGGTGTAGCTCTATATAGAAATCAATTTGCCTCCAGTTTTTTTTGTCAAAGCTTAATTGAATAAGGTGAAGTTAGAAGCTGATTGGCTACCATGGACAACTACACTAGATTTTTCACTCTCCAGTATTAGTAAATCAACCCCATTATGTTTTTATTTAGTATACTACTTTACTTTAATAATTTCCATGCTCCATTTTTTCCATTATATGCTAACACATGATCAAGAATTGGTAAAAATACATAATTACTTTTTTAAAGCAGTAGTAAACCGCTCCCCCCCCCAAAAAAAAAAAAATTGAGCCTTTGGCAGTTTAAGTTATATTGTGCTAAAATGCATTGCATACTAATTCATTATGGCAAAATTACCTGAAAATGAAGATCTCCAGCGGCATGCTGTCACGGATTCAAGATCTTCCATCTTTACCGTGTCTTCCTTCTGGGTTCATGGGCTTCTGCTGTATGAATGGCAGAACCGCGATGAGTCATTCCCATGCATTTGCGGGGGAATCATGGCCACAGCAGAGGTCTGAATGTACGGCACAATACATTCCATGCCCAGTGCTCATGCGCCAGTGGCATCTCCGGCTGCTGCTAAAGTAAATATCTCCTAAACGATGCAGGTTTAGGAGATATTTACTTTACCTATAGGTAGGCGTTATTATAGGCTTACCTAGAAGTAAAAATCAACAGTGTGACTTTACTATTACTTTAACTGTTTTAATTATTTTTTTTAAACCCTAATGCTTGGTGACAGCTGCAGAATGCTGGGGAATCATACATGAGCATTTTAATCTACATATTAATGGATTTTACTTGTTACCTGGAATTGCTTTAATTAATTAAATAAATAAATAAAGGTTTTCTATTAGATATGCATTCCTGTTGAATTTGGCTTTCTCTTAGTAATGAATAGGTTAATATTGGCTCTTTTTGTGTCACTCAGGCAAGCTGGCAGGAATGATAGAAACAGATTATCAACTTGGAGCAGCAGGTAGCAGAGATTTCATTTTTGTTTGCATGTAATGGATTTCATGTACGTCACTAAGACTGTGCTGTTATCTGATGCATCAGGCCCATTGTTGTTAATACAAATCTATCCTTGTCCCTTGTTCCCCTCTTCTGTATCACAGAGTCTTTAAAAATATTTCGCAGACCACAATGTCCTATTCACCATCCATGTATAAAGCAAAGATTTCTTGGGTCTGAATAAACCCAGCCAACCTATTTGTATACAATGGAGACTATCGATCACTGCTTAAAAATGTCCCTTTCTAGGCTTTTTCTTTGACTTGAATAAAATTGTATTACAAAATGCTTGAATAATGATACTTTGCATTGTTGCTTGTTGCATATGTTCACATTGTGATACAATCATTTGCAATTACCGCTACACAGCTGGTATTGAAATGCTACTCCATAAAAGCAGTTTATTGTGTTATAAATGGTTATGCCAATTGTGAACTATAAATTAAACTTGTCAGAAATGGTTTAAGTAGATCTTTAGGGATAAGGTTACACTTGAGGTCCTGTTGTATTTCTAATGTGTTCACTGTGCTAAAGCCTCTGCATCGTTATCTACACAGAAAAAGGTAAAAGATTCACCCACTTAGGAAGTAAGATCTTTGTATTAGTAAGAACAGCTGTAGACTGGTAATCATGTACTGTAGGTGACTCCAATGAAATCTCCATTTCCACCAGTGATCCCCATATGATTAATAGTCAGTTATGGTAACCTAAGCTAGCAAGATGAACTGCTAAAAGCTTTCAGTTGGAAATAGATTGAGGGCACAGCAAAGGAATTGAACTTCAAGCAAAAAGTATAAGAGTTGTTTGATTTCCCCTCGGTAGACTCCCTATTAATGTGTGTCTTTCTTCTTCCCCACCCCCTTTTTGTTTTCACCTGTCTCTCCTGCTCCACTCTATTCCCCTCTCCATATATAAAGTGGCTGTTCCTCTGTCTCCAAGTTCCTCCTGCTCTTCTGCAATAGACCAGTTCCCGTGTGAGTTCTGAACATGCGCTGTAAGTCTTCCTCTTTCACCCTGTTCTCGTTCCTTTGTCTTTAACTACAATTGTTGACAATGGTTGCATGTTTTGTCTGCTTATATTCCTTTACTTTAAATGTATCTATGTTGTCACTCTTCATTACTGTTTATGATTTATGCTAGTATGATAAACCAGGTAAACTTTACTGTAGGTCTAAAAGCCTTTCCCTGAAGGTCACTAGTAAGCTTCATATCAGGCCATAAGTAGACTTCTCAATTCCAATATCAAAGACATGAACCATTAACAGTACCAAAGGTGTTGGATTTGTGCTGATGAATGGTACACTTTATTTTATAAGCATAGGGGTACAGGTTCAGAAATAAAAATGTTATTGACTTGGTTAATACCTAAAAAAAAAAATAGTAAAGCTGAGTTCTGAGGGATGGATAAGTGCTATTTTATTGAACTGATATTTCACAAAGTGTGACAAAGGTATTACTGCTGGCACTTGATGTAGGTGGTATTGGGAATTCTTTGTCTGTATGGGCAATACCCCAGTATGAGATTTAGTGTAAATTCTTTAAAGTGTAAAGATAGTTGCCACAGGTAAAGCAGTGTAGGGAGGTGGTAAGAGTGGTAGCTTTTAATATAATTAGTAATACCTTTATAGTTGTAATAGTGGCATATAAGTGGCAGCTCCAGTTGCCAATTTTCAGAGCTTCACTGGAGAGAATCAAAGGTTATAGGTTTTGTTCCCCCTCCCTCTTCCCCATTTCTGGTACAAATATTTTGGTTCACTTCTAAAAGACAATGCATGTTTTAGGGTTTGAAAGCAAATGTGCATTGCCAAAAGATGTCTGCACTTGTTCTGAAAGGCTATGACGTTTACCCAAACCTTGTTGTTCAGTTTTTTGGTGCAATTATTCTATTATTATTTTATATTCAATTATATTATTGTATAATATTCTATTCAACGCTTTTAAGTCGAATAATTCAGCTTCCCTTTCTACATCCTTGATATATTCCATTTCACCTAATGAGGTTTATTTGCTCTTTGGCATACTCTGGTTATTTTAGCAAAAAAAAGTTAGATCAACCAGAAATTTGCTGTGTTTGGTGTAGATTCCATCCTAGATTGGTTTGTTTTCTATAAAATCAAAGGTTTATTGTGTCTTGTACTTTTAAGCAGTGTGTGCTTCAATGTCTTATTTATTTAATGCAAACAGATTCCTGATGAAAAAGTGCTGATTAAGTAGAATATTAGTCCGAGATTAGTTACCCCCACTCCGAATCTAGTTTTATTAGCAACCTTTAAAGGCAATACATATTAATGAACTAATTAAATGTGTGTTAAAGTGCATGTGCACGACAGACTGGTATTGCTAGATCTGAATGGACCCTTAGGGGTTTATTTACTAAAGCTGGAGAGTCCAAAATCAGACTCACTTCTGCATAGAAACCAATCAGCTTCCAGGTTTCATTGCCAAAGCTTCATTGAACAAGCTGAGGTTAGAAGCTGATTGGTTTCTATGCAGAAGGGAGTCTGATTTGGACTCTCCAGCTTTAGTAAATAAACCCCTAAGAGTCTTGGTGGACCTTATCATAGGCAGACTACATGGAGTCATTTTATTTAGTTTCCTAGTTGTAGGATGCCATAGTTTTATTACAAATTGAATATCTTAAAGCACTGTTCCAGAAATATTTTCCTCTGCTGCTACACTCTGTCAGCCAGCAGCGCTCTAATCTATTCCTTGTGTGCTGCAAAGGAAACTGTCAAGAAGCATTTACAAGCACTATGATGTCACTGGAAAATCTGCCTGACAGAGCACATTAGCTGCACATACACACAGCATGCTTTGGCTGTCTAGTACCAGTTTTCATTTCCTGGAGGCGAGTCCAGTACTGGTGATTTCTAGTATAAAAGATAATCAAATATATTTTAAAAAGAATGTAGTAAACATTATTATTTACTGCAACGTTATTTATGACTCAGATGTAATTTTTCTATTACCATTCTTTGTGAAAAGAAGTAATTGGATTTGAGATTTTTCATTTTAGAATGTAAGCTGTAACAACTGTAGTAATTATTATGAAACAAGAATATGTTAACCTGATAAAAAGATCGTCCTTCGGTTGTTTAAAACCAAACTTTGATTTTCACTTTCCACCATACACAAATTACTTTGCGGTACAGACCACAGACCCACCAACCTCATTCTCGGACCCTTGACTTCATTCTCTATCTCAATACTGCTAACCTTCTACCCTCGATTTCACTGCAAAGCAAAATATAGGTGCATGATACAATACGACTTGTAGGGAATAGTCTCCAACTACATCCAAGATCCCATAATAATCATTTATTGCACTGCAATTGTTGGACCATAGTTTCTATTCAACGTACAACTATACCAAACTCATAAATATGACACAACATGGAAAAAACAATACATGCATTTTACCTATTTTTTCAAGTTTTACATTTCTTCCTTTTTTATCAATATTAAGTTGCCATATAATGTGACAAGATAATATATGCCATATAATGTGACTTGATATTAACCCGTCAGCACCATTTGTTAACATTTTATACTTGAACCTTTATTAAAATATTTTAAAAAGATAGCAAACTTTGTCATTTAGAAAAATCACTTCCTCAACTCATTCACTAAAAAATCCAACAGTTACATTATCCTGGCATCCAGTTCTTACTCCTGGGCATTTTACAAATGTATGCACAGCAGACAATATACAATTATTTAAAAAAAAAAATGACAACAGGGAAGGAAAGAGGTTTTATGGTAGATGAGACCTACAGAGTCTTTTCTGCTGTGTAACTGTATCTAC